TGGTTGGAATGTGTTAGGGAGCTGCCAGTCTACCTTTCTTGCTCTGTTATTGGACCACTGCACGACCTCCCTCCGTTCATCTCTGTTCTTCCGTCCTACGTGGCTCAGTGTTGTCCTAAAACTTGCTCTAGCCCCTTCTTCCCATCACTCCACCCCAGCCTTCCAACCCTTCCTTCCTTTGCCCTTCTTTTCTTCTTCCCCGGTTTCCCCAAGTTCCCGAGTCAGTTGGCGATGTCCTTTGCCCTCGATCGCAGTGCTGCTGTTTTCCTCCCACCACCTTCCTTTGCCTTCCCCTCTCCCCCGTAGCTCCTCCTTCCCATCACTCCACCCCAGCCTTCCACCCCTTCCTGCCTTCGCCCTTCTTTTCTTCTTGCCCGGTTTCCCCAAATTCCTGAGTCAATCGGCAATGTCTTTTACCCTCGATCGCGGTGCTGCTGTCTTCCTCCCTCTATACCCGTTACCCAGATCCACTTAGTTCTCGACCTTGCTGCTCACCTCCCGTCACCTTCTTTTGCCACTTCAGCGTGCGTTTTTGCCCGGGACTTCGCCGTTTCTCCCTATACTTAGCTTCCTGGCTTAGGCCCGTTCTTTCCCACTTCTCTTGTCCCTCACGCCTTCCCTCCTCGAGCACTTTACCTCGTAGCCCTTGTTCGTCCAAGTAAAACCGCCCCCCCCGATACTGGGATCGTGTCTTCAAACCTCAGTCTCTTCGACGCTTCTTCCTCAACTCTTCTTCGAGACGTACCTTTTTTGGATGTCCGCTCTAGTCAGTCGTCGCGCTGTCATTCTTTCGTCATTTTCCTATACTCCGCTTTCTGGCTTAGTCCCGTTCTGTCCCACCTCTCCTATCCCCCACGCCTTCCTTCCTAAAAACCCTTTACATCCTTACCCTTGTTCGTCCAAGTAAGACCATCACCTTCGATACCGGGATCGTGTCTTTGACCTTCAGATTCAACGCTTCTTCCTCAACCCCTTGGTCATCACACTTCTTCGAAACGTACCTTTTTTGGTTATCCGCACTCACACACAGTCGTCGTCGTGCTGTTGCTCTCTCGTCGCTCCCACTGTCAAAGTCCTCTTGTTATGACGTCTTGCTATCGCTCTATCGCCGTTTTCTGCGCCCAGTGGCTTTTTGCTGTGTCGTTGTTTCTTCACGCTACGCAAATCACGTTCTCATGCGCGCACTGTCCTTGCCTTTCCCGGGCCTGCGCACATGCGATTCGCTGTCTGGAGCCCCCGGTTCCCCTTTCGGCAGGGTGCCTGCTTGCTTGAGACTCCCTCTCCCGGTCACCCTGGTCGGCGATGGCGCGTGGCTATGGTCAGCCTCCCTCCTCGCCTTTCCCTTGTGAGTCGTGCCCACGAGACCCGACGGGCCTTGCTGATGCCCCGCAGTTTCGCCCTGCGGCGGTTTAGCGCTACCGGAGCAAAGTTTTCACCAAAGCTCTATCTTGATTAGTTCTGCACAGAAGCTTAAAAAAGAACTGACTATGGTAGATTACAATCCCACTCTAGGTTGTCTGTTAGGTGTCAGCGGTCTGTCAACTAACTAATCAAAATAAAAATAGACTACAGTGAGCAGATGTCTGCACAATGGATATGATAGTGATGCACAGTCAAGTTCACAATTGGAATCCCCTTCCCCTATATCCAACGTACCTGTGAGCATCATCAAGCAACCGTGTCTAAGGTGTGCAACCACGGCCCAGCCCTGTGCCCAAGAAGTATGCTTATGACCAGTCTTGCCATTTATAAAAAACCTCGCGTGCAATGAGCCTGACATTTGACAAATCTAGCTGATCAAAAGGCAATTTAAGGACAGCCCCCGAGAGTCCTCAGGAATTCTTTAACGTCGCAATCAGGACGACGATCACAGCCAGTGGACAGTTCAGACCCCAACCAGAAATGTTTATAGACGGTCTGGGAGCGTCTACGTAGGACTGGTCAGTCTGGACACCCCTTCTATTAGCGCAGCAAAGAGCCTCAATGGACAACGCAGCCAAGCCTGCATGTACTACTCCCATGGGTTGGCATGGTGACCATGACCCGTGCTTCGACCAGGGCCCTTCAGAGGCACCGCCCTCTCCTGCCAAATGGCCTACCGGAAAGAATGTCGTCTCTCAAGGTAGAGCGCACAAGACTCCTCACCAAAGAGAGGACACTCGAGTCGGACTCACTTCCTCATGGTAAGAAGAGATTGAGAGGGTAGATAAGGAATGGGAACAACGTACCTGGAGATGGCTGCCCCCAGCCACAGATTCTCACCAATTGGGCCGATGTGCATTTCGATGACCGGTCAACGGTCAATAGCCTCGGTACCACCCACAACGCAATGCAGTGCCACCTCAGCCAAAATGCCACGTCAGCATACTCTCATCATCATGCATACACCAGCTGTCGCCACAGCCTTCCAGCAGCCGGCCTCTCCACCTAGGCCCCGCTCAATCAAACCAGCGCCAAAGTATCCTTACTGCATGTGAAGCATCGTCAGCGCACCAAGTAACAATGTCGCTAGGTAAGCGCCAATCACGAACCAGCTCCGATACAAAATTGCAAGGAATATGAGTGTGAACGATATACAGAAAACCAAGTTGCGAAATCACACAGATGTCCAGGTAGTCGTGTCCAAGCAGAGAGTACAAAATGCACCGAGAAACCATCCATATAGAGCAATAGAATGAAGTAATGATCAAATGTTCAAGCCCGTAGGCCACACCAACACAGTATCCAAAGTCGCTCCTTTCCTGTCTGGCACCCAGCGCCCAGCCTACTCTGAACGACTATCCTACCTACAGCTGGTTCACGCAACAGGCTCACTTCGACTCTCGAAGACGAATGTACACGACTGTCAACACCATAGCCGACCTCTCTTCATGCATCGGGTACGTATCTCGTCACCCTCAATCAGACCTTGATTACCCACACTCGCCTCCTTCCCTGAAGACCACCTGATCGCCCTCCTACCCCCTGGCGCCCAGCAGCTCGGCTATGGCTGCCTGTGCCCCGCTGCCCAGCAGCGTCCCACCTCACCACTACGCGCCCCGTCAGCGCTCTTGGCAGCAGTGCAGCATCAAGCGAGAGCGCAGCAGCACTTCCGCATTGCCTGCACTGGCCAGCATCCTGGCCTGGGCTGCCTCACTTCTTTTATGGAAGTGGCAGCCTCCTGGATGCTGCGTGTGGTTTGGCTGGAAGCTTCCAGTAGCTTCCGGTTGGGCCTCAGACCCTGTGCCCAGGCCCGAGACTACAGTTGAGGGCCTGGGCCCTTTTCAGTTGGGTACGGCCTGAGTCTCTGGACTTGGGCTGTTTGCTGCATCTGTGCAGTTCTCCCAGGCAGGTGCGTCGGCAGTACTGCTTTGTGTATGTGCCCAGGCGCAACTGTCAAGGCCTGGGCCAACTGTATGACGCAGCTAAGGGAGGCTCACGCGTCTACCCAACCAACTGGCGTGCTGTGAGAGCCTGAATACCCACATATGGAAATGTCGAATTTTGGCCTCTGATGAATATTCGGGCCCGCCTTCACTTAGGACGGGCACTCGGCTTGCTGGGGGCCTTAGCCCAGAACATGTGATGTCTGATAGGGCCCCTTGAGGGCTTGTTCCTCACAAAGATGAATTAAAAAAAAGAAAAAATCCAACTCCCAGAAAGGTACCGTGTATTGCTCTCTCTCTCTCTCTCTCTCTCTCTCTCTCTCTCTCTCTCTCTCTCTCTCCGGCCTTCTGCGTTCTTGGCTCTGTGCCTCTACCCCTCTCCCTCCGCTTCTTCCTCTCCTGTCACTTTCCCCCTGCCCGCCCTTCCACAACCGCTTCCCCTCTTCAGTAGGTCCCCACTCCTCCCCCGTCCAACTTCCTCCTCCCCCTGCTGAGGCATCTCCATTACCAGTCATGACTCCATGTCATCTCTCTCTCTCTCTCTCTCTCTCTCTCTCTCTCTCTCTCTCTCTCTCTCTCTCTCTCTCTCTCTGTGTGTGTGTGTGTGTGTGTGTGTG